CAGATCCGTCTGGTTCGGAGGCACCAAGACGGCGAGCACAGCAGGGATCGCGGAGAAACGCAAATCCCTGCTGTCGCCGAAGCCTGGCAACCCGGAAGTCTCCAAAAGATAGTTTAATGGTGGACAGGACCACATGGCTTGGAGCTCCAAAGAAAGATGATCACATGCTTCAAGGTGAAGGAAAAGAGAAGGAAGGGCTGAGATGCTGAGAGTGCCTGGTTTTATACCTTCTGTTGAGATTTGAATTTGAGCTTGTATTCTGATTGGTTGTCAGACTCCCATGGGGACATGCAGGGGCAACTCTGTAGGCTGTCCTGAGTTCCAGGTTTAGTTGAGTCTTGCTGGATGATGATGTAATGAAAAGGCTTTAGGCAATTCCTATAGTTCTACCTGGAGATCTTCGTTATGTAAAATATTCTGGCCCAGGCTGTTGAGGTATTCCCTGTTAGGAGAATGAGCGCACTCAGGGAAATGTAGTGAGAGTGGTGTTGAATAACGCACAACCAACATACAGATACACTGAATAGTAAAATGTAGATTTTACTTCCAGTAAACGGGTAAACAAAGTCCAACAAACAGTTCAAATCATACATGGTGAAAGCAGGTAGTATTCAATACAATCAGTCCAGGGATAGTCCAAAATCAAAGTCAAGTATCATAAACAAAGTTCAGTAAATGGAGTTTGCTAACAGTTTGCAAGACTCACAGCAATCCAAGCAGAACAACATTCAGGCAAAAGGCAAAAGGGAAATGCAAGAAGAGAACAAACCAGGTTTCTGGCTCCATCTTATGGCCATCGGAGGAACCTCAGCCAATCACAATTACAGCATTCTCTTAAAGGTACAACAGTATTAAATGACTATCCTGGTTTATATATTGCCAACCCAACGGTTAGGTGACTATCATTCCTAACACAGGCCTTAATGGCCCACCCATTAACAAAGGTGGGGGTGAGCTTCTGCTTCTGAGGTGAGTTTCTGCTTCCGAGTTTCTACTCTTTTTAGGGGAAATATTCTGCCTTTTTAATATTTCCTATGATATTTCAATTTTCTAGGAGAGGGGTGGGTGCTAACTTCCTACAATACCTAGAGCTTAATTGTTTCCCCCAAAAAATGAAGATTCCAAAGATGTATTTGATAATGTTGCAGTTGCCTTCATACCCACAGATGCTGTACTGCTAAACTCAAGAACTGTAATACCAGTAGTTCATAACTTTGCTGCTTTAAGATGTGTGGACTTCAACTCCCAGAATTCCCCAACTAGCAACGCAACTGGGAGTTGAAGTCCACACGTCTTAAAGTAGATAAGGTTGAGAAACACTAATATAACACTATTGCTCTCTGACTGCATTTTCCCACAAGTGCCTTCATAAGAAGATACGATGAGTCAAAATTAACAATATTTTCTGGAAATCCTGTCTAGAAAAACAGGAAGTTGCTTTAGCCACACTGTGAGTCTACGTACCCTATACTGAAGCAATAGTTCAGAGGTTCAGGCAGGGCATTTCCTAACCTTGACTAAAGATATTAAAAATTGGAGCTGTTGTCTTTTGCATGCAAATCACGTACTCTATCACTGAGCTGCAATCTTGTCTGTTAACTCAATCTCTCCTCTCTTTGATTGCTACATTGATTCATAGGCAATGATGAAAAGAGCTTTGGAATCCCCTTTTCTTCAAAGATCCAGTCTAAACAGGATCTAGAGCAGGGGTGTTAAACTGGGAGCCCCTGGGCTAGATGCGCCACACGCAGGCCATGCCCACCCCAGCTCCACAAAAGGAAAAAACAATGCAAAATGTCATATGACGCAGCAAGTTGGGCACCTGTGATCTAGAGAATAAATGTTTCATATCAAAGCATATTAAAGTGTTTTGATAACACAAGACAAGATGCTAGGTGGTAGATGCTGGTGAGAGAAATACCAGTACATTTAATTTTGTTAGATTTTGTTTATCTGGTGGATTTTTCATACACACTAATAGCAGCGGGTAAGCAGTGTTCTTGAATAGAGACACCCAACAGAAGAATAAATCCCTGCTGGATAGGAGTATAAAGTATGTGTCAATATTTGTTTGGGCTCTTGTACATACATGCAGTCCTTAAATCTTCACCCAGTTTCAGGGTGGATACAGTTGCCCACTCATGTTTTGAATCTGGGGTGTGGTATCTACAGCTTTCTAGATATTACTGCATCCTAATTATCAACTGCCCCAACCAGCATGGAGAATGGTAAGGAATGCTGGGAGTTGTAGTTCAACCACACCTGGTAGACCACAGGTCTTCTATTTTCATTTTATATGAAGGGCCTGTAGCACTATTAATTAAAAGAACAAATATTCTACCTTCCTCTCCTTCAAGAAATATGGAATAATTGGCGAGAAACCCCAGGAGCAGAGGAAAGGGATTCAAATGAAAGGTTCTGTCATCTTGACTTCTCATCAATTCCAGAAATGGGGCAGGGCAATTCACACAATAAAGGCTTGTCTTGAAAACAACAAGAAAACAGGCTTTCTTTTTTTAATTTGACTTGGGTTTGTACACAACCACATTTGATTGCAATAAGTTGCTAAGTGTTTTGGAACAGACAAAAAAAAAAGAACAGAAGTGCAGCTATTTTGTTGTTGTTTCCCATATGATAATTATTGTAACTGTATCCACAGGTGCTTCGTTGCCAAAATTGCATAGTAAATAACTTTATACTTTCACACCTTGCTTCCCCATTCTTTCTTCAGTATTTGTGGTGCACTTCCCATTTGTCCTTTCATCTCTGCCTGTTTAGCCTCATTCTTTCATCTTCTTAGCTCTGATCTGTAACAATGCCATCGGGTGACTGCCTTTCAACTTGACCAGGGTGGTTTGGGTTCCTACCACCAAACTAACATTCTGGGTTTGTCAGGACAGGCAGGTTTGGCTAGTTATATTGCCTGGCAGGTGCAAATTTACCTTTTTAACAGAAGAACAATTATGCCTATCACTGTTAAAACTTTGACATTATTGTTTTTCCAGCCTCGTTATATCACCATGAATGTTATTTAATGTTAAACTTTGGACTGTGAAAACTCTTCCGGATACAGTATGGCAGGTTAAATGTACATTAGGAAAAGAGGTTTATTAGTCTATTGCACAATTAAAATAAGAAGACAAGGAAATGAAGCTTTGTCCTGAAACACTGAAAGCAAAGAAGTGGCAGTGTGGGTTCACCACATTCCATGCTTGTTGTTTCCTGCTTTTAATAAACCCAGTGACTTTTCCCTTGCAGATTTAAACATGTGGAATTTTTAAGAAACTATAAATGCGTATATTGATTGATTCATTGATTATGCACCATCAAGTCAGTGCTAGCATTTAGCAACTACATAGATAGACTCTGTCCAGGATGATCTGTCTACAACCTAATCCTTCAGGTCTTCCAACAGTGAATTCATAGCCGCTGCCATGCTGCTGGCTGTCTTCTTATTTTTCTCTCCATCTTTCCCAGCCTTATAGGCTTCACAAAGGACCTTCACCTAATGGTCATTTGTATCTTGGATTGATTTTTTTCTATGATCCTTTTTTGCCTTGGGCTATCCATAATATTCTCAGGAGTCTCCAACGCCAACATTCTTTCTATCCTGTTTCTTCAAAGTCCAATTTGGACATGGAGTATCTCAGGAGAAAACATTGTCTGCATGATTATGATCTTTGTACTGTAGATACAGGTACATCGCAGCACCTGAATACCTTTTCCATTCACAACCACTCGGTCAAGAGCTAGTGTGCAGCACATTTCTTGACTTCTGCTTCCTTTACTGTTGATAGTGAACCCTAAAAGTCAGAAGTTAACCACCATTCTTATATCTTCATCGTGGGGGTACAGGCTACTTATTAAACCTATTGTCATTAATTTGGTCTTCCTTGTAGTATCAAGTTTCTGGGTGTGCAACTTTCTGTAGAGGAATGATTGAAAGCATCTTGACATATTGTGTTACTGTGTGATACGGAAATATTAAAGTTTCAGAAAGGAAGGCTGTGCAGAGGATGGCAAAAAAGATTACTGTGTTTAATATATCATGTTTCCCCAAAAATAAGACTGGATCTTATATTAATTTTTGCTCAAAAAGATGCATTAGGGCTTATTTCCCAGTTAGGTCTTATTTTGGGGAAAATACCGTACTAAATGTGTCCATCTGGCTGAAGATCTTAACTGGGGCTTATTTGGGGGGCAAGTCTTATATTATGAGCATCCTGAAAAACTATGCCAGGGCATATTTTCCAGTTAGGTCTTATTTTCCACTATGAACATGAACATATTTTCCAGTTAGGTCTTATATTCCGCTATATAAACATGGTATATACTGTATATATGAATATGTATGAGTGTGCGTGTGTGTGTGCGCCTGCATTTTTAATGTGTGCCAGTGTGTTCACAGAAAAAAGTGACAATGAAGATTATCTTATCTTATACTGGTATTTAATCATACTCCCATTTGTTCGCTATGCTGCCTGACTTTCATTATTACATCATGCCGATCATTTGCATTTTCATCTATCATAGGAGTACCATCAGCATAGTGCAAGTTGTTATATTATTTAACTATTGTTCAATTATTTATCAGGATCCATTGTAACCTGCTCCCTTTTTTTCTATGCAGCAAGTTAATCTTAATCTATATTCAGTAAGCATTTTACCACCAGGAATCCCACCTGGAGGACAATTTATTTATTTATCTATCAAATTTATATGGCCATACAATTATAAAAAGTTGTTTTTTATTCTTTTTCCTTTTTGTATATAACTTTTAATTTTAAAAATGATGTGATATGGCTTGAATACAATGCAGCTTTTAACATCTGCCATTATTCCAAAGCACTTCAGAGACATTGATAGTTTCAGAGCTATTAGTCCTACAAATACTGTCTTTCTAATATTCATTTATGATGAAATAAAGAAACAGGGGTTGTAATACTATTAGCATTACAGTCTTCATCATAGGTATATGTGTTTATTTATTTTTATTTGTTAAATTTGTTCTCTGTCTAGCTCACCATGGGATTACTCTAGGTTGCTTTACAACAATAAAAATGAGAAGTGAAAAGTGTAGTAAAATAATGGAACAATAGAATAAATAGTGGAAAAGAACACAATACAGTGATGTGAGAATAAAAGACGGGTGAGTTTGGAAGCAGGGAGCAAGGGAGAAGGTGGAGTTTGCTATCAATCTAGTAGCTACCTCCAGTGTGGTTAAAGATTTTTAAAATCTGGTATTTAGGCTGACAATTAAAATTGATAAAGCTGTTTCTTATGTAAGACAAATTATTTTCATGCTAGATGTAAGATGAAACAAAATAAGTCTTAAATCAAGCTCCTACATTGTAAATGTTCAAGCAGTTATTTGTCTTTTCAAACTGAGGGGTCAACCCAAAACAACTTCTTCATAAAAAGACAAACATGTGACATGTATTGAAATAAGCAGTTTCATGCTGGAAAATCTACCAATTTTGCTGGTTTGAAGCAGTTTTCAAAGGATAGATGGGCCAAAATTCCAACTCAGTGCTGTAAGAAGCAATTAAAGGAAGTGTTTGGCTGCAATTATTGCAATTCAAAATGATGCAATCAGTCACTGAATTAAAAAAAATAGCAAGTACATTTTCATGCAGATACACTGGATGTGGTACAACTGTCTTTATGAAAGAAAGGAAACAAGAATCAGACCTGGGTTTTTATCGATCACTGGCAAAGGACCCACATGAACCTTCAAGAAGTTTGGTGGAAAAGATATGAAAAATATCAGAAAAGCAAAAAAAAATAATTTTTCATAAGGTGAATATTTTTTTATAAGGTGCATTTGCAAGAATTACAAATGGGTGAAAGTACATTCCCAGGTAGAAAGAAGTCCAAATGACATTCACCCAGCCTTGGACACTTCCTGTTTCTTCTCCTTACCTTCTCAAGAAGAATGAAGATTCTTCTTTATTCCATGTCACAGTAGAAGATTTCTGCTTGTTTTATGTGAATCAAGAAAGTATGATTTAAAATAAACCCTAGGATTTGCTCATCTCTTAAAAACATAGCTTATTTAACTGTCTTATTTAAGGAATTAGAAGTTATTTTAAACCACAATTGCTAGCTCAGAAATAAAAGCAAGTTAGGAATTGTTTAAAACAAAATGAAATTCTAGCTTATATTTTGCTTTTGGAAAACCACAGGAAAAGCAGAGATTTGGCCAAGGCGCTTCACCTAGGATTTTGTGTGGCACTTATTTTACTTGTACCTACACAGTAACTTTAACATGTGGCTCTGTTTTACATATGAATGCTAGAAGCCTTAGAACTGTGAATTGGGAATCATTTTATGAATCAGAGAAGTCTTCTTTCGCTTACAGGTGAATTGTTTTCCTTATTACTCTGATTAACTTCACAGTCTGAGACAGGGTCATCACTACTGAACATATTAGCAAGGACTGTACATTTATGGGGAGAGTCAATAAAGTTTCTTAAGGAGTTTGGTCTGATAATGTCTGAGATTAACCACTTTAAGAGAGGAGTGGACAATGGTCCCCTTGCTCTTGGCCTTCTGTAAATCACGGATGATTGAGATATTCCAGAGAGCAATGGGAGTATGATTAAACCATCTGGTTAAAGTTTTTAGATCATATTTGATTTTCATTTTTCTCTCTTCTGTGCCTGTTTGTTTTGATAATGCCAACTTCCAGGAATCACCTAAAATTGTAAGGGCAAAAAAAGACGGTCAATAAAAAAATTCCATACAAAATATGGTAGGCAATTCCAAATAGACAGAGGTGGTCAAAATTGAATTGTTTTACATGTTACACATATGAAAAGAAGCAGGGCTTTAATTGTATGTTTGCAGCTGACCTCTTGACTTTTTTTGGCCACTACCATCTCACAGGCATTTTTGCAAAAGGGAATCCAATCTGCCATGCTTCAGCACCAAGCCTTATTCGCCTTTGTAGGCAGGGGTCAAAGGTTTGGAAGTTGATGACAAGAACAGAGCAAATGATATAGAGGAAAGGGGTAATAACTCCAGCCCCCAAATTAACGCTCGTGCCTGGCAGGAAATGGTACCCAGTTGCTCCACAGACAATGCGGTGATGCTCCTGCTTTAGAATTTCTGGCCTCTTTCTTGGGCCTTAAGAACAAGCATAGTTGCCACTATTGTAAACAAGCATAGTGGCAGGATGACACGCAGCTAATTGTTGGTGAATGTCAATTCTTCTCTCCCAGTCAGCTTTGCAAGCAGGATATTATGAGGTTTAATTGCTGCATGACTGGTAGTTAAATATTGTTTGCTTAGATGTTTCAATAGAGGGAGAGAGGTGAGGTGAGACTCCCAAGCCAAGCACAATAAATCATTTTTGGATCCTGCTTTTATTTTAGGGAGTGCCTGGCATTTTGCCTGTAGCCTATCATTAAGCCAAACTGCCCTCTTCCTTCTGAAGCATTCCCAGGACCTTCCCTTCTTTTTTTTCCACCTCTCCTGCTTCTTTCAGGCTCATTTCTGCCTGATGTTTCCTTTAGCAGCAAAGATTGCCTTTGCTCCTTTTTGTTTCATGGATTCATCCTCAGGATTTCTGTTTATTTTCCTTTTCAGTCCGTTTTATCTCTACCAACTCATGTTTTTACTGAGGCCAATCTTTATGGATATTTACAATTTTGCTCTAGAATTTTGCTATTTCGAGAGAAGGTTCCTTTCTTATCATATACAGGTAGTCCTTGACTTACAACAGTTCATTTAGTGACTGTTGAAAGTTACCACAGCACTGAAAAAAGTTACTTATGACCGTTTTTCACCCTTATGATTGTTTCAGCACCTCCATGGTCACCTGATCAAAATTCAAATGCTTGGCAATGGATTCGTATTTATGGCGGTTGTAGTGTCCCAGGATCATGTGATCATCTTTTGCGAATTTCTGACAAAGTCAAAGGGGAAGCCAAATTCCCTTAATTTATGTTACTAAGTGAACAACTGAGGAAAGAAAGATCATAAAATGGGGCAAAACTCACTTAACAAATATTTCACTTAGCAACAGAAATGTTGGACTCAATTATGGTCATAACTCAAGGACTACCTGTATAATTATAATTCTACAAATAGTGAGGAAATAGAAATCAATGTTTTATCGTATTGTTCAGTGTGCTTGGTTAATCATTTGCAGCTGATCTCCATCGTGTAGCTCGAAGAATATCATAGAATACTTACAGTATATACTGTACATTCCAATGCTCAGTCTGAAGTTCTCAAAATTAGGATTCCTGTAAGTGTGCATTTTCTGTAGATGAGGATGAAAAACCATGCACTGAATTCCAAGACATACTTTTGGCAAACCAGAAGAACAAGTGCATAAAGTGAGACTTTTTTCCCCACTCTAAAAGCAGCTGATCTCTCCTCTGGCCTACCATAAAGTTGTTAAACACTCAGAACTAATTTTATAGTGTATTTGAATCCAAATAACCTTCTGCTTGGTACAAGCACAGTTGTTGACTCTGTAACATAATATGCACAATCAGGTAACAGCTTTTGTATCTAAATGTCAAAGTAAAAGAGAAAAGAAGTCACAGGCGAACATTTCTCTTTTGTTCCTTCCCTTCTCCATCTCCTTATTCCATTACTTAAATAAAGCATTTTTGGAATATTCTTGCTACCTGAATTGTCACAATTATTGCACTTCAATCTTATATAAGATTCTTGGTTTTTATTAAATTCTTTAGATTCTTAATGTCTTCCTGACATTATTCCAAGTTTTCCCAAACAATTTCTCTTGACATTCTATCCCATTCTTTACAAAGTAGACTGGACCATTATACATTGATAAGGTCAAAAATATCCTCCATTAAAGAAAAAGCTATATTTTGTTTTTAGGTCCTTACCAGTATAAGATATCATTTATCTACCTGACTATCTTTCTAAAACCAAAGTGCCTCTCCAGAATGTTAAACAAGCAGTAAGTTCAGTTCTGACAGATTTTGATTTGGAGGGAGGGGGAGACATATGTGCTATTTTCATGTTTGTGTATGATTGTGTAAGTCAGGAATCTATCTTGATTCTAAGCATAGGTGGGGAAATTGAACAGATCCCAGGAAAACACAAATAGACAATGTTGATCAGATAACATTGTAAGCAAAGCATATCAGATGAGAGCCATAGCACTGTGATGTATTTAACCTCAAGCAAACATGAAGCTTAAAGCAACATATAATTAGAAAGGAAAATATTTTCTCTTCTGTTCTCCCCACTAATTCCATCTTGCTACAGATACAAATCCAACCTGCAAAGCCAAGGCTGCATTATTCATTAGTTATGTTTCCTCCCTGTCCACTAAAACAATCCCTTCCAACTTAGGTTCAATCCTATAATAATAATCCTCCTGATGGGTTAATACTGTGTTTTTACCTGGTTGTATTTCTATGTATCCGTAGCCTGCAATGACAACAACATGCTTTAATCACAGCTAAAATTACTATGTGCTCTTACAGCTTAAGTCTATGGAAAAGTTTTTCTCGAACACTTTTTTGTCTATGGAATGTTTTACACTGTTGTAGAATATCACAAATCAGCAAGGGATCAGAATGCATATCAACATATTTATTGATAATGGAAATATGGGCTGAGATAGGGTGAGCTGATAAGGCAGAAATGGAAAAATAGAAAACTCATTCATAGATTGACTCCGTTTTAAAGTTGGCCTATGTGTTTGCTCACATTCTCTAGGCCAGGGTCCCCAACCACCGGTCCCCGGACCGGTACCGGTCCGTGGATCATTTTTTACCGGGCCGCAAAGCTTGGGCGCCATCTTGTTTCGACAGTGCTTCCGGGTTTTCGGTTGCTTCCGGGTTTTTGGTTGGAAAGTGCTTCCGGTTTTTCAGTTGGAAAGCGGCATTTGGGTGCTCGCACCTTAGTTTCGTCAAAGGGGGGGGCGGCTTCGTCCCGATGGCGGTGGAGTCTCACATTACTCAGGTACCGGTCCGTGGAAGAATAAATAATCGTGAAACCGGTCCCTGGTTCAAAAGAGGTTGGGGGCCACTGCTCTAGGCTATCACTCTCCTTTCCTGAGGAGAAAATGCTTAATTTGCAAAAGACATAAAATAATTTACAGGAGGCAGAGAGAAGGAGATCCAGGCTGGCAGCAGAGACTCTACCATAATTTTTTTGTTGTATGGGCCTTTTCCTGCCTAGACCACTGATCTACATTATTTCCTATGTTAGCCTCCATTTTGTGGAACTCTTCCCATTTCCAAAGATTCTTCTGGAAAGAAAATGATTATTGGACTGTTTAATGCAAAGCATTAAAAAGATTTAGCAAGATTTTGCTAGCATTCTCTTCAACAAAACTGTAGCTCAAGTGAATGGTAAGCTGGGTGACCAGGTATCAACGTCATCCTCACATACCAAGAGAAAAAAAATCACAAGAAGGGCATTTCCACAGTACAATTCTTTCTTCTTACCAACACCTCAAAAGCAGGATGACCCATGAACAATTTTCCTGTCAACCATCTTGAAGTACTGAGCTGACTAATAAGAGAGTACAAAAATATTATTCAATCCAAGTCCTGAACCATCCCATATTGTTTCTCACATCCAAGAAAAAAACACCAGAAAATTCTGATTCTGCCTATTTCATTAAAGTTGACATTTTCTTTCGGCAATTCTTGCCTTCGAAAAAATGTTAAGCTGCTAAAAGATTGCCCCTACCAGCATTGTTATGTCTGAAGGTAGATGCAGTGCTTTGGTTGTTTCTATTATTATTGATTGCTTAAATTAAAATCAAATATAAATATAATTTGGATTTTGCAAATACAAATATTTAAGTATGCTTCTTAATAATTTGCCTTCCTCAAAAAGAGTCAGTTCAATCTGGCTGTTCAATCTCAGCAACTATCTCCCTAAATTTCTTGGCTAGATTTTTTCCAATGTCAGCTTTCATCAACAGATTGGTAAATGAAAAGATGTTTATTAGTCTAGCTGATACTGAGAGAGTAGTCAGGAAAACTTCTGTTCTCCAGGAATCTGGAGGTGTACAATGGCACTCCTTGAAACAGGCATCATATCTTTGTTTCTGTTTTTAAGCTCCCAACTCAGATTAATTGACTTACAGGTTTTTTTAGTTTTCCAGCATAATATGTGTTTGTTGCAGTCCTCCTCCTCATTTTCCTCTTACTCCTCCTCTTCTTCTTCTTTTCCTCCTCCTTCTTTTTTGTAAGCCTCTCTTCTCCAGAATGGTTTCAACAGGATCTGTGCATGGGATGTATTCAGCTCTGTTCGGCTACAGATTGAATAGAAAAACTGAAGACACACCCCTTCTGGGCCACCATTTCCAGTCCTTCTATTCAGTCTCAGCAGAGATAGACATTTTTAATCTTGCTCCTCTATACTTTATCCATAGAGGGGTTTTGTAGTATTTTTAATTTAGATTTGTTATTTTGGACTAACCACACATCAGTCCTTAAGGGACTAATAGCATCTTAGGCCTTTCAAAAGCCTCGATGCTTATTATGATCATAAGCCTCTATTCCATTGGCTTTTTCAAGCAAATAGACTTCCACAGTCCGGAGTTTGCAGAGACCGCTCCCAAAATCCTGGAATAGGGTTTTGGGAGCATTGAAGAGACATTTTTTACTAGTTGAGCAGCCTGCCTGTATAAGGGACCGCTAAGCAGTCCAAGCACAGAAGGCATCTTTATTCGAAAAGCCTGTCAGACAGCCTGCCCAAATAAGGGAGCACAAGTCTAAGCAGAGCTGCTGTGTGAGCCACAACGAGGTTCCAGCAAAGGTAAAATCAAGTTGGTGACGGTTTAAATTGGCGGGAGCGCCATTTTGTAGAAGCAGCCATTTTCTAGCCAGCTCTAGTGTGCCGCACGACCCGATCTATACCTCTCACAGACAGTTAACCTTGAAAGATTCTGGTTATTGGGCTATTTAATTGTCATCAAATTGGCGGAATTCTGTCCTGAGGGGCAAAGCCTCAGAAAGAAGACAAGAGGAATTTTTCCTCAGCTTTTCTACCCTTGTGTGCTGTGTGCCTCACGACTAGAGCTATACTGCTTATAGACAGTTAACCTTGAACGATTCTGGTTATTGAGAGTTATTTAATTGTCTTGAAATTGGTGAAACTCTGTCCTGAGGGTCAAAGTCTCAGAAAAAGGTTTTCTTAAAAAATTTAATAAGATGTATTACAATTAATGGTTGTTTCGATTTTTATTTGATATAGTCAGAGTAATGTTACAGTCAGTTATAGACATTATGGAGGAATCTTCCGACACAATATCTTCACATCTGATTGCTTCCAATCAACAAAAAGGTAGGGGTAAAAGAACTTGTAAGACCAGAGGATCAGTTCAGGAGGCAGCTGACAAAATCAGGGCCAAGGCCAGAGCTACTAGGAAAACCAAAGCTGATGAGCAGGCCGAGCGTAGACTACATAATGCATTGGTCAAGTAAGTAGAGGAGAATTCAAAAGAACAAATAAAATCACTGCAATTAAATACTCCTAAGGGGGATCACACAAGTCAATCTATTCTATCCCAACTGGGATCAGACATGGACTATTTGGGCCAAGTAGTTTTCTAACACACAGGATTCTGAACTTCCAGGGTGTTCTTACTTGAGTAATCCAAGACCAATGGCTCCTCCTTTAACTAGATAAGGGCAAATGCAACACACTGAAACAGGAGGGCAGTTAATGCCGCTGGTGGTTCAGCAGTGTTTTACATAACTTATTGGTCAGGGAATGATGGGAGAACTTCAGACTAACAGTCCAAATCAGGCAGAATCTAGAGTAGGTCCCTCCCACTGTAGGAGGCATTCCCACTCCCTTAGACAAACACTTATGACCAAAACATGGTCTCCTAATACTTCAGAGGATAAACAATCTGAATATTTAGTAGAGGAAGGCGAAATAGAATCTCTTTCTGTAGAGGAGACAGAAACAGAGATGTCTGATACCAAAGGCCTGTTTAAACCACATTTATTTAAAGCATTACTAGCTAAGGCCAAGAGCGCAATTGGCCTAGAATTGAACAAAGAGACACCTTGTATTACTCACAAACGGGGCAATGAAGCCCTTTTCATGGAGCCAAAGTGGAAGCAGAAGTTCCTACAAAATATTCTTTAATATGGTGCAGAGACAGCTAGATGTCCCCAGTTCGGGTCCTGGGGTAACAGTCTTTGACATACCATTAGCAGCAACTTTGCAGCTCCCTGGGGTTGATGACCCAGTGCTAGCTTTAGCATATTCTTCAACTAACCTCAATTATGAAGATGATGTCCTAAAAGGAGAGGACAGAAAGGCTGATTTAATGTGGCAAAAGACACACCAGGCAGCTGTATGGGCAGTCAAAACTACCACAGCGGCTTCCTTTTTCTCTAAGGCCACTGTGATATGGCTAAGACAAATGCAGCAGCAGGTACCAACAGACAATATAAGAGCCCACTTAGACTTTAACAAAGTTATAGCTGCATCAGAATATACGGCAGACAAAGCTTTGAACTCTGTCAAATTCGCCATTCATGGGCCATGTTTTTCAGCGGTTGCCGCACGCAGGTTAATCTGGCTCAGGTATTGGCAGGCCAACACCAAGAAGAAATGGAAGCTGGCATCCACACCATACAAAGGTGGAAAGCTATTTGGGGCACCCTTAGATCCCATTCTCAGCAAATCACGGGATAAACGTCTACCAGCCAAAGAAATCAAGCAAACTTCGACCAGAGGTAACTTTTCAACAGGCTCAAGGAAACAACTACAAGGCAAGATCTCAACCACAGATCAAACAGTCATTCCATGGTTCATCAAACAGGCCATTCTGAAAATACAAATAGGCACTTGTAAACTCTTGTTGGTGGTAGATTACAAAGTTTTGCAGACCAATGGGAGAAAACAACCTTAGATCTTTGGCTCAGACAGACAACAAGGGAAGGTCTGGCACTTGAATTTTGAGCCAGGCCCCTAGATTTTTTATCAGGTGTCCAGTATCTTCAAACATACACAAAAGGAGATAGATGGAAGAGGCAATTCAGCACCTCCTAACAATCCAAGCTGTGGAAGCAGTCCCAGAGAAGCCACAGGGCCAAGGCTTCTACTCTATGTTATTTCTTGTTCCCAAATCATCAGGGGGATGAAGGGCTATTTTAAACCTGAAAAGACTAAACTTTTTTGTTATTTATCATAGGTTCAAGATGCATACACTTCAATCTATTTTGAAGAAAGTGAGACATGGGGTCTATTTAGTTTCAATTGGCCTTACCGAAGAGTATTCGCATATTCCATTCTTACCTGACCATCTCAAGTATTTAAGGATTTGTTACGCAGGTTGACATTTTCAGTATAGAGCACTCCCCTTTGGGTTGGCATCTGCACCCAGGGCATTTACCAAAACCCTGGCAGCTGTAACAGCCCATCTTAGAAATGTTCCAATTAGGAACTACTTCCAATTAGGAACTCCAATTAGGCCTACTTGGACGATACCTTAATATAATCAGTCCCCCATGAGTTAGCTATTAGAGACTTAACCATTACCCTACAAACCTTACAATCTCATGGATTTTCAGTTAATCAGGAAAAGAGTCAGTTTGAACCATCTACCAAATGTTTACATTTAGGGGCAATAATAGATACTGAATTAGATTTAGTTTTCCTCTCTCAACAAAGAAGAGAAGACATTAAAGTGTTAACAGCCCATTTCTTTTGCATAAGAAGGGCATCCCCAGCACAAATGTCAAAATTACTAGGCAAAATGATATACTGCCTTGATGTAGTGCCATGGGCATGAATGCATTCTCATGAATTGCAATGGTTCTTATTACCTTTTCAGAGATCCATGAAAGGTATCTCTCCCATCCGAATTAGATTGCCAACCAAGATGTTAATATCCTTGCTTTGGTGGACCTCTTCAGCATTAGATAAAGGATGCTCCTTTAAAGACAGGGAGTTTACAACAATAACTACCAATGCTAGTCTCTCTAGATGGAAGGCCCATTGTCAAAATAAGGTAGCACAGGGCATTTGGTATGCTAATGACATCAAGCATAATATCAGTTGGTTAGAATTAAGAGCAGTCCACCTAGCTCTCAAGGAATTTGAGGCAATAAGCAGGGGACAAGATGTGTTAATCCTAACAGGCAATATGGCCCCTAAGGTGCACATTAATCGTCAGGGAGGAACACAGTCAAAGTCATTACAAAAAGAAGCTTCCTGTCTCTGCAGATGGGCAGAGACATCAAAGCTGAACATATTTCAGGGACACAAAATGTCAGGGCAGATTGGCTAAGCAGATCTACAATAGATCAGGCAGAGTGGAGTTTGCATCCGCTTCTTTTTCAAGAAATTTCCAACAGATTTGGTCACCCAATATTGGATCTGTTTGTATCTGAGTCGAATCATCAACTGCCCCGTTTTCTTCACCAGGTTACCATCCCGGGGAGTGGAAGGAGTCAATGCCCTTCGCTGTCAGTGATCAAAGGGATTCCCTTATGCCTTCCTTCCATTACCTCTCATCTCGGCAGTCATCAGGAAGACCTTAGAGCAGAAAGCAGAGATGCTCCTTGTGGCACTGTATTGGCCCAGGAGGCCGTATTTGCAGACTTGGTCAGTTTGTCAGTGTCATGTCCATGGAGGATTCCTCCCAAGAGGGTGTCTTTCAACCAGGAGCCAATTCAACATCTAGAGCCTCAATGGCTTCACTTGGCCGCCTGGCACTTGAGAGGAGGAGACTGTTTTAAAAGGTGGATCTTTCCACACAGGTTATTAACACTATACAGGCAGATAGAAGACAATCTACTCTTAGGATTTTGAGACTACTTGGAGAGTTTTCTGTAATTTAGTTTATTTTATTGTCATTGCACCTCGTACAACAAAATCAGACACCATCTTCAGTGCACATCATGACCATGATCATGAAAATAAACACAAACACACATCCTTCACCCTTCACACATTGAACCGGAAACCCCCAACACCACACCAACACTGCACTATACAGTAGAATTCAAAAGAGCTACTGCCCTGGGATAGAAGCTGTTTTTCAGCCTATTTGTCCTTGTTTTTATTATTCTGTACCATCTGCCAGATGGTAATCGTTCAAAAAAAGGGTTCCCAGGATGAGATAGATCTTTGAGAATGTTTTGAACTTTCTTAAGGCAGCGGGAGCTATAAAGCTCTTCCAAAAAGGGGAGAAGGCAACCAATGATCTTCTGGGCAATGACATTAACCCTCTGGAGTGCTTTCCTATCTGCCACTGTGCAATTGGTAAACTATACAGAGGTGCAGTATGTTAAAATTGTTTCAAGGATAAGGGTTCAGATCCTGGAGAGGCTTCAATCTCCCAGCTTTTAGATGTTTTACAACAAGGATTGGACAAGGGTCTTGCCCCAGCTACTCTCCGTAAACATGTTGCAGCACTCTCATTGGTACCTTCATGTACAACTTCAGATTTATTGTCACAAAAGCCTTTAATTCAACATTTTCTTAAAGGAGCAGCAAATTTAAGACCAGGGGTCATTCATAGATTTCCATCATGGGACTGCAAGCCCTTACGCTTTCACCCTTTGAGCCTTTGAGAACTGTCAGCCTACAGCACTTATCATATAAAGTAATTTTTCTAGTGGCAATTACGTCTGCTAGAAGGATATCGGAGCTTGCAGATCTGTCAATAAGACCTGATATCTGTATTTTTCACACCAATTGAGTTGTTTTATGATTGGATCCTACCTTTATACCAAAAGTCAATTCCTTCAGAAAGATGGAAGCAATGTTTATTTCTTATCATCAGAAATCCCTAGGACAAAGGGTGTCGTCTTCTTCCATAGGCAGATGGATTAGAGCAACCATTGCTAACATTTATAAAGCACAGGGGTTACCTGTCCCATCTCGCATCACAGCTCACTCAAGTAGTGTAGTGCAGCCACTATCGCAGTTTGGAGTACTCAGGCTTCAGTGGAAGAAATATGTAAGGCGATGACTTGGTCCACTCCTTCACCATTTGTTAGACATTATAAACTTGACTCACTTCCACGGAAGCAGCATTTGGAAGGAGAGTACTCCAAAAGGTATTGCCAGAAGATCAGAGACATTAGGGTTAGAATCCCTCCCATTGGACATTGTTTTGGTATGTCCCAGACATGGATCCTGTCAAAACCATTCTGGAGAAGGAGCGTTGTAGACTTACCTGAGAATGCGCCTTCTCAGATGATGTAGACAGGATCCAGACCCACCCATTTTCTTAGGTTCTGGCAATCATGTTGGGTATTGGACTAAAATTTAAGTTATTATTAATCATGAATGTTATACAAAGATGGGACTCTTGCAGCATATACAGGGAAGCCTTGACTTCATTCAGAACTGGAGATGGTGGCCCGGAAGGCGTGTGCTTCAGTTTTTCTATTCAGTCTATAGCTGAACAGAGCTGAATACATCCCATGCATGGATCCTGTCTACACCATCTGAGAAGGCGCTTTCTCAGGTAAGTCTACTAATGCTCTTTCTCCCTTTCAGAAATTCATATGGGATGAAGTGAGGGAAGGGAGAGCTTCGTGTAACTGCTGGTTTTACAGCAGTCCCTCTGATGTCAGAGAAGGGCACCTTTTGGTAATATGGAGACTGATTATATTTTGACTTCCACAACATCTTTGAAACATAATTATTTCCTTGAATAATAAATACATTTGATGCCAAGATCTTCAAAAAATAGCAGCTATACAAACTTCTTCCCATGTCACTTAAGTGCCACAAGGTTGTTTAAAAAAGGCAAAAAGCAACCATTTGAATGCTATGACTTCTAAATACTTTTCAATGGCAAATCCATAAAGATCATGCAGTCTACTTGGGAGATGACATAGGCCTGCATTATTGCAACCAGCCTATCCAGAGCATCAATGGAAAGAGCAGAGAAGCATCCTCATCTATGACAACAATTTGCCACCCAAGGCCACTGACAGACAGATGAGCATACTAATCCACAAATCTTCAGTTGCAGTTTAATGTTATCCATGAATTTATTTGCTTATACCCACAAGAAGGTTGGCATATCAGTGATCACCAAAGCCCTCCAAGATTTTTTTTTTTTTAAAAAGTTCACTGGGTTTGATGGTGGACCTAATATCAAGAAAGACGAAGTAGAACAATGAGAAGGTGAGCATCCACAAAATTTGACTGACTGAGAAGAAGAAAAAATCATTTTGGTCAATAACCAGACTTTAGCAAACTAAAAGAGTAAAACACAATAAAGCATTTATACAAATGTGGATTAACTGAATGCTGCTTCCTTAGCATAATTGCCTCATTACCTAAGGCTGATTTGAATAGAATGATATTTAGCAAGAGCTGTTGATTTGTTTAGTGTTGCTCAACTTGTCTATACAAGGAGGGTGTGTAAGACATACTTCTTCAATTTCCTTTCTAATCTGGTATTGGCTTCATATCCCAATCTGACAGATCTATGTGGATTCATTTATGAAGTGCATGGTTGATACTGGGCTGTGAGAGAAACTGCATTGTGTTTACAAGTCTGGCTCATATTAATGAAGCCTGAAACATGTTGTTGATAAATTGTCTAGTCTAAAAAGGGTGCTCTTGTACTGTAATCCTCCCTGCCAGCCTGAAATATGATTGTTTGGTATTCTATGAATTGACTTTCAGCCCACCTGAAGTTAAATTGAATAGTATCCAGAATACCTGAATGCCATCCAGAAGCAATTATAGACACAGGCATATTTTCTATCAAAGTGTAATATCATGGACCCCATGTGTGTCACCATTCAAATTGTGCTTTAGTTCTCGTAATTATCCATTACTTTATTAATAGGTGTTTCAAATTAACAGAGTTGTATTGCGGAACACAGTTCAAATTAACAAGCATAACATCTGGAAAATTTAATACAGGTAGTCCTCAACTTACAACAGTTCGCATAGTGACTGTTCGAAGTTACAATGGCACTGAAAACAGTGACTTATGACCATTTTTCACACTTACGATCATTGCAGCATCCCCATGGTCACATGATTCACATTCAGATTCTTGAAAATTGACTCACATTTATGACGGTTGCAGTGTCCCAGGGTCACTTTCTGACAGGCAAAATCAATGGGGAAACTAGACTCACAACTAATTTAACCACTGCAATGATTCACTTAATAAATAGGGCAAGAAAAGTCATAAAATGGGGCAAAACTTACTCAACAAATTTCTCAGTTAGCAACATACATTTTGGGCTCAATTGTCGTTGTAAGTTGAGGGCTACCTGTATTACTAAATGGCCAAACTTTATGTTAGTGTGTTCTGTGTATATTCTTCAACAGAATATTCTTCAACATCTGAGAACTAAGGGTCTGAGAATTAAGGCTCTAGGGCAGGCTTGTCTAACCCGTGGCCCATGGGCCGCATGCAGCCCAGGTCGCCTCGTAATGCGGCCCAGTGCCCACCCCAACCTTCATGCCAGAGCCAGCGAGGAGGAGGAGGAGAGGCAGGCGCGAAGTGGGGCGAGGCAAGTGCCACGCCAAGCAGCAACAGAAAAGGCGGGTGCCATCAGAGCGCCACCTCCTGCTGTTGCCACCGCCACCGCCGCCACTTCTGCCCCCAAGGCCACTGCTACTTCTTCCCCCGCCGCTGCTTCTGCCCCTGCCACCACTGCTGCTTCTGCCCCCGCCCCCGCCCCCGCCCCCGCCGCCACTTCTGCCCCCGCCGCCGCCCCTGCTGCCGCTTCTGCCCCCGCCGCCGCTGCTACTTCTGCCCC